ACATGTTACTTGTTTGTAGAAGAATCATGATCTCACTTCGCTTAAGCAGAGCTGTGTCACGCAATCACCGAAATTAATCAATGGAATCTCTCGCGATCTCTAGCGGCTTGGAAGCGATTGGAACCATTCCATTTGGAAGCACTTGCTGTGGCTTACCCAAGATGCAGTGGCGCGCTTCCGCACTGACTTCATGGGTTCCAATCGCGCAGCAATCTAGAGCTCGCGGATTTCATGATCTAATTCGTGATTTTGGTGGCACACTCAAGCTCTGCCTTGGCGAGTGATGTGGCATGATATTTCTGACACCAGTAAGCACTGTACTTATTACGGAAACGCAAAGTGGAGGTCGTAAAGGTTGAGTTTTGTGTTGCAAATCCTGTGCAATCAACACGCGGGGTACCTCACCCGCGCGACCCCGCAGGCGATCAAGCGAAAATTTGATGGGAGCGCGTGAGCGCAAACTCGAAACACTTTTGGAAACAATACATAATAAATAAAAAGCCGACTGTAGCTCTCAGCTATATATCTAGACTGGTGTGTGAGTGGTCGCACGCAGACCCTCGTGGATGCGTTGGAAATAGATGAGCTCGGCGCTGACCGGTGCAGCCGCGTTTGCACAGTTGATTCGTGTCTGGTGAAAGGTGTGGCTGTGCGCACGGGCCCGCAACGTTGAGCAAGACCATTCCGCCTGTCAGCTACATCACACCGCGCCATTGACTAATAGGTATAAACAACGTTTTACATAATATAGTCAAAATGCACCGGGCGTGTGTGTGCTTCGTCTAAGGCCTGTGCGGCGCGGACTCTGTCTTGCTGACCACGTGCACACGCGCACCGCCCTTGCCCACTGTGAAAAATGTTGTTGTGCAGCGGCCGGGCGTGCGGCAGTTGAGAGTATGGTAGATGAGAGATGCTTCGGAGTGTTGCACAGGAGGGCACTGGCAGCAACTTGAGCAAAGAACCATTCCGCTGCAGCTACATCACACACGCGGCCATTGACTATATATAACAACGTTGTTATATATAGTCAATGGCCGCGTGTGTGCTGTAGCTGCGGACGCGGACTTGTTCTTGCTGCCAGTGCACGCGCGCCCTCACTGTGCACATGTTGTTTGTGCACAGGGCGGGCGTGCGGTGTACTTGTGTGTTGCAGATGAGCATTTGACCGGCATTTACGGCTAATTATCGGCAATAATAGGCGACATAGAGTAGATAAACATTAAGACTTCAAATGGTAGTAAATACATTTCGGGTTTATTTACCTTTTTTTTATTGAGACGTTCCAAGTGCCTGTGCACTAGGCTCCTACCACAACACAGTCAGTTTCTCTGTGAGACTCTGACACTGTCACTACTGCACTGGCTCTACTCTGAAGACTGCAGCTCATGATTAATTTTTTCGTGACACTGAGCCAAATGTTGGCATTGGTAATAAGACATCACTTCACCTGTTTTATAGCAATGAAAGCAGAAAGCGGGCCCAAGGCAAGCCTAGTTTAGCTCATAGGGTCTATGTCCCCCAGGGTACTGCCGGAACGTACCCTGGGTACCCTGGGTATACCGGAACGTACCCTGGTAACTATTTGATATGGTTAGGGTTAAGGTTAGGGAGTAGGCGTAGGCGACTCCCTAGACTTGTTAGTGAAGTAGGCGAGGTACGGTCCGGCATATTAGATAGTACCAGGGTACGTTCCGGCAGTACCCTGGGGGACATAGACTCTCTCAGCCCTAATTTAGCACCCCAGATTATTGTCGCACGATAATGTGAAAACATTGCGGGGGTCCCAAACTATCCTTGATTCGATTATTCACTTATTAGTTATTACATTAGGAGGTTATATATCTGTGAAAAAAATAATGTTATTGCCATTAAAGTGTTGGCAAACTATCTTGTGTGGTGGTAGGTGTGGTAGAAATTGTCATCTATTGTTCATATTTCAGCTAATGAGTTGACCGAAGAAGGACAGAGTGCTATAGACTCACCTTCCAGTCCAGTGAAGGCTGAGCTCCTCCCACAAGACTGCATTCTCGGTCTGTAACTTACTTAAAAGTTTCTCACATGATCTGATGTAGCTCAATATGTAATCACTAATTACGGTCATAAGATAGTTTGATTATTGGGTAGTGTGTTATACTTGAATAAACTAGTAAGTTCCAGTAATGAGGCATTATATATATAGCTCATATATGGAGATGTATATATATATGCATATATCTCACATTTGTACTTTCATTTGCTCTCACAAAAATCGGGCAAAATATTAGTGTGACAGAAAACTCTTTGCGTTTAAATAATTACTAGTTAAAAATGTACCAGTTTAAAGTAAAAAGGTATGCAGAGGGCATTCTGAAAATTACTGGCAGATGTTGATTGTTGACTCTTTGGCAGACGAGAACGAGGAACGGTCGATGGTGGAACCGATATCGAAAGAAAATCCCCAACTGAAGGAGCTGATCAAGGTACTGCTGGACTGGGTGAATGATGAGCTGGCATCATACAGAATCATCGTTAAGGACATCGAAGAAGATCTGTTTGATGGCCTCATCGTTGGCAAGTTGATCGGTACGTTCTGGCAAATTAATATGTTTGAAATAACTTGGTACCATAATACATGAATGACATTTCTATGATTAATGCAGAAGCAAATTAAAACGAACAATTTGTTATTACACATTTAATCTGTAGCATTTGCCTCCAGCCTTAAATGTCTCATTTGTGCTAATGGTGTTGTATGCATATCTTGCAATCAGAAAAGTTGACTGATACCAGGCTGGAGGTGGCTGAAGTAACTCAGAATGAAGCTGTCCAGAAGGCTAAACTAAGAACTGTGTTGGAGGCAGCCAATGAAATTCTGGGTGTTCAGAAGTGGAATCAACAAAAATGGAGTGTGGAAAGTATGTAGAGGTATCTTAAAGCGTCTATTGCGAGAATTTTCGAGTGTTTTCCCCACTTTCATGATAGCTACCATTATTGCTTGAGTAACAGCAATTGTCTAGAGTAACGATAAAATGTCTTAGAACCTTCGTATTCACCAAATCCAATGAAATCATGCACGATTACAATTTTGCGTTCTGTTTCTGTTTACCGTTGTCATCTCTCGAATTTTCTCACGGTAGCGTGAGACATCTGTCACAGTGCAGCAATGCATACCACGCACCCTAGAAATCAGGTCAGAGTGTAAACACAGACGTTCATACTAGTGTAAACAGCAGTGTAGTACTAATGCCACGTAAAGTCTGTTATTAGAGAAGCTTGTGGATTGCCAGTCAGATAGTAACACGGGAATGACAATGACAGAAAGTGCTCTGAATTATTGACATAAAAACTGAATAATATTTACCAAACAGAATTGCACGCCCTTTTGTTTTAATTATGTTCGCTTGTTTGAGACGCCATTTGTGATTTTTGAGAGTCGTGACACGATAAAATTTATTGCTGGTATGATGTGGTCAAATCAATTTTTCTATGCTATAACTGCATAAAATCTTGGTGTTTTGAATGTTGGTATAATCAGTGATATTTCCACTGTCAGGTGAGACTATATTCAGCTATATTTAGTTTTTCTGAGCCAAAAAACTTGCAATAATCACTTTAATGATCTGGGTAAAAAAATTCCTAGTATATATGGCTTATCAAAAATAATTAATCAAATTACATAAGTAATCTCTGAAAGCCCTACCACAGTACTAAGTCATCCCTCCCTGCTTCAACACTGCTCGTTCTGACGTTGATCCCCACTGGATTTTCTACAGGCATTCATGGAAAAAATCTAGTTGCAATTTTGCACTTGCTTGTGGCCCTGGCTATGCACTTTCGAGCACCTATTCGTTTACCGGAGCATGTCATCGTAAATGTGGTTGTGGTGCAGAAGAGAGAAGGACGGCTCCTCACACGGACAGTAGCCGAGGAGCTGACAAGAGAGAATGAGTAAGTCCCACCTGTAAAGCCTTGTAACTAACGGAATACTAAAAATATATAACGTTTGTAGAATCACATGTAACTGAGACAAACTCGCAGCAGGTGTGGCAGTCAGAGTTCAAGCTACAGAAGCAGAAACAGCAATGGCAGCTAGTGGTAGTTGTAATACAGTAACAGCAGCTGGTGCATCTGCATATGATGTATCTCAAGACAATAACAGCATAAAAATTGCTTTAGCCAGTGGCTTACTCATCGATCAGTAGCGCAAATTATTTCCAATATAACACATAATGTAATTCGATAATAACAAGTTTACATGAAATGTATTTGTTTATTTCAGGCACCTGGGAGCGAAGTTTGGTAAGATATTATGCTTATTCGTTGTATTACGTGAACGCACTCTCAGGTTAAAGTCTTTCTGACCCTATGTAGCCTCAGGGGTTAGGCATGTTACTCATGAAAAAACTGGGTGAACCTCTCTATACGAAAGACCAGTTATCCATTTGTACACAATGGTTGACTGGACGTAACTGTGCCCCCCGTAGGACGCCCCATCCTTGTGCAAACCGAAGGTTTGAGTTCATATATGCAGCGGCACGCTCCTCCTACTTCATTTCTACTACTGGCATAAATCATACCAGAATTGCATGGGAATTTGACTAATCTGAATTCGTGGGCAACAGTCACTGACTTGACACAGTGTTTGCTGGTAAGCATGTCATGGACTATACTAGCACGAGAAAATTTTTGGGATTTAAAAGCGCACCAAAAACTATCGAAATCCTTAAATAACCCTAATTACCTCAATCACTACGCCCACCGAATGCCAATCACGATGTTTACTCAGTGACGTGGCCGCTGCTAGCCGACCAATCATGTGCCGCGTCATGCGCCCACAGTTTTTACACGAGCGGCTGCGGCCTGCCTACAGTCTACACAGGAACATGTGGCATATGGCATGGTGAAAGTGCGTGAAGTCTGTCACGTGACATGCTGTGGGTAACGCCCCCCGCACCGGCTTGTCTTTTTCCTCCAATAGATGGCGCCACGACTCTATATACAGACAAGGCCGTCGTACACACAGGCACTTGGAGCGTTTCAATAAAATACAATGCTAAATAAATATGAATATTATATTTTTATATGTCAGTGTGCAGCGGCAGAAATGGCAGCAGCCAGTGTTTGTTGTAGATGAGCATTTGGACGGCATTTACAGGAAATTGTCGGCAATAATAGGTGAAAGAGAGTATAGAAACATTAAGACTTTGGTAGTAAATAGATTTCGTATTTATTTAGCATTATATTTTATTGAAACGCTCCAAGTGCCTGTGGTTGTACACACACAGCACACGGTTATAGGCTAATACTGTATATGACTAAGCCGTATATTTCGCGGTCGTTGAATTTCTCTTCCGTTTCGCGTGATTGACGGAGCAGTTCTTCAGTGATTCTCATGCAATTAGACCTGCGCGATGGCGTGTGCATATGTTTGGTAGTGAATTAGACCCACAAAAATTCGAGACTGTTCGCTGGGAGCTATTGATCCGTGCGCCGGCCTTTGGATTTGGCGCACGGATCAATAGCTGCCAGCGCTTGATACTTTCGTAGGACGTTCCCGCGGTCGCGTGCGCCTTGCCGCGGAACTGCGCGCAAGATCCACGCTCAGCGGTCAGGATTAACACCTCGTTTGGGCGACGCTTCTCTGGTATCCGGTCTCTCATCTGGATAAATAGAGATAAATAGATCCCAGTGCTCAAATCCCAGATCTTTGAATCTCAAATTGTATTTGTTACTAGGCCATTATATGGGTTAGAAATGAACTTTTCTGCCAGACATTAAGTAAAAAATGTACTCACCCGGGCAGAATCTTTTTTGCTTTTACTGTGGTTTACTAGAAATTTCTTGACAGCAAGTATTTGCTGCCTATGTTGAAAGCAGGAAGCAAACTGACCCTTTTAGGCAGCAAAGTTATATTCTATGAACATTTCAGAAAGAGATGCTTTTGACACATTATTCGACCATGCTCCAGACAAGCTGAACGTTGTGAAGAAGGTACCAACCTTTGACTGCTTTCTTTCGAAAAAATCGAACCTACATAAACTAAATGGATTTGTGTTGTCACAGCCTGTAGCTGGAGTATACATTTGCCTGAGCTGCACACCTTGGTTATAAATGCTGCGACCTACTTCAGTATGAGACCAATATTACCTTAGTGTTTGTGTATTACATATTTTTATATACATATTAGTGTATTACATATTTTGCAGTTTTTCGACCTACAACTTCTCTGTTAACATGTGCAATCATTTGTAGTCATTGGTGACGTTTGTGAACAAGCACCTGAACAAGATTAACTTGGAGGTGACAGACCTGGAGACACAGTTTCATGATGGGGTGTACCTCGTCCTTCTGATGGGTCTCGTGGAGGGCTACTTTGTACCAATGTACAGCTACCACCTGACACCAACAGAGTTTGATCAGAAGGTACTGAAGGAATGATGGGAAGGTCTAGAAGCTTATCACATATAGTGCACTTCAGCCTTGGAGGCTTCTGATAGCTATGCTAGCATTAATAACTAGAATGATGAAAGGTCAATGGACCCAGACCTTGTATAATACGACCTTGTATTAGAGGGTTTCATATAATTCTAAAAGTAATATAATTGAAGTATTTAAAAAATAATAATAAGCGTACGGGGTAATATTTTATTCATTAAAAAATTCTGATGAGAGGATGCATTTGGTGGTGGGGAGGGAGGGGGGGGGGCTGTGGAGAACCTTGTTATATGAGTTTTCACACCCTTTTTGTATAAATCACTCCTCATGAACTATCTAGCTGCACTATATATAAGGTCTGGTAGCATGTAAAACAAGCTGTTGTATATGAGAAAATCATATACATATAAGATGGGAAGATGAATACAAAGGATAGAAATGTGCATGAAACAAGCAGTTAGAGATAAATATTAAAGCATGTTAAGCAGTTAAATACATTTGTATGACCAGATGTGTATGTGAAGCACATTAAGTTTCAGTATACATATCAGTTCTTGTCATTACTAGGTGCACAATGTGACATTTGCCTTTGAGCTTATGATGGATTCTGGATTACCGCGGCCAAAGGCCAGGCCAGAGGACATCGTTAACATGGATCTAAAGTCAACTCTTCGTGTGCTGTACAATCTTTTCACCAAGTACAAGCAAGTGGAATAAGTGGGACACTAGGGCTTTAGTTTTCATATACACTCAACAAGTCTAAACGTCTATACGTTTTTGGCCTGATGATTATTTTCTACATGTGTGTAGGAAGTTGGTGCTATTTTGTTTTGTCAGTGTGCTTTGATTGTACTCTGGGGGCCAAAGGTGGGTTTCGAATTTTTAATGGCAAAACAATTGGCATGTTATGTAACTCAGCATGTGTGCATTTAAATAGAGTATTAGCGTAGCTTTCGTCATTATTTTCCATTGACAAATATAATAGCTATGATACACACTAAATATTGTTAATAGAAATAGTTTAATTTTAAAGTAAGTTAATATTTGTGTTTTAATGATTAAAGGTTAGTGCCATTATTTGTGCTGCTCTAATGGTGATGATGTAAGTTGTACTGATTATTTTCCCACATTTTACATCAGGTGCTTTTCTCTCATATCATTCAAATGATAAATTATTACAATATTTCAGTTTCACCATTAGTTATAGTAAAGTTATGCATTAGTTTATGCTACTTGTAGTATTTATACAGCATTTTTACAACTAAATAGTAGAGTAATATTTTCATGCAATATTACTGATTTAGAGCATGAAATAATATGAGAGAACCATGAGAGTGGGAGGCAGCATAAGCAATGAAATTACCTTAAGCAAATGCCTGCAATTTTGTACAGCAGGTTTTAGTTATTTTTCATATCCTCGTACATAGTAAATATTAGTATGTAACTGAAGGAAATTTTTCATAACGTTACCCAATTAATGTGTGCTTTCTTGACTATTGCTAAGTATATATTTAAATATTCCATAGTATTTGTAATAGCCAAGGATGTGACACAATCCTCATCCGTTTATATCATGTATGGTAATTATTATGAAAAAACTCATACAAGTTGGCATGTAGCCTATATTAGATGTGCACGCATCGGGTGGATGCTGGCTCATTGTTTTATACTATGGAAAAGGAAAAAGTCTCACACTAGAACTTGCAACTTCTGTATTACTTTTATAATTTGCATTTCTAGCATGTGACGAGATCGTGAATTTTAGCGTACGACTTTACTGCTTCACCAAGTCGGCAGTCGCACATTGCACCTGCATGTGTCTTTATTTGGTTGTGCAATGAATGATTTTTGTGTGCAATATATCAATATACATAAACTGAAGATTTAGATGTCAGGAAACAGGTACTGACTTACAGTTTGAGCCGAGTTATTTAGAACCATTTAGTAAAGGCAATAGCTGTGCAAGTTGTCAAAATTTACAAGTAGGCTATATACGTAGTAAAATATTAATTTATTATTGTAGTGGATCGTGTTTGGAAACATCTAGAATTGAGTCTATTTAAGATGACAATGTTAACAATGTTAACATTGAAATAAACATTTATACTAGTACATGAACTCTCAAAAATGGTTATTTTACTTGCACGTTTTATTGTTAACAAAAACAACTACAATGATATATGTAGCAAATTGCAGCACGTTCTTTCCCTTTGCCATTTTCTGACAGATATCAACTATAGGTCCATTTTCATTGCAGCAATGATATACTATACCACTGTACCATTTAATCAGAACATGATTCACTATGTTAGTTACTCGATTAAATTACAAGTGTAGCACATATGGCCACACCTCTCTATGAAAGAAACATTTATTACCTAGACACCGTTTCGTTCTAATAATGACATTGCCTCTTTAATCCTTATATTTACCATATTTATTCATAAACTTAATAAATTAGACACATTACTGCCACATTTTCTACCTGCCATACCGAGATATTATATTATACATCTTACTATTCCAACAGGTCACATATAGATATTAGCCTTGCTGGTGGCACCGCTAATAAGGAATGTTGATCATCAGGCACCTCACTGAGGAATACCATAGAGTAAGAATAACTAAGTTATTCTTAGTCTATGTGAATACTCAGCCAAATGGAATATTGATGCTTGGAAATTATTTCAGTTATCAGGTTAGATGCATTTGACAAATGACAAATTTTGTAAATTCAAACCCATAATGTAATATGAAGCCATAGCTTTATTTGCCAGGTTTAGGCTAGTTTGTAAACAAAACTATATGTAAAACAATATATGGGATTATACTGGCAAACCGAGAGAAATCGTAGCACACCACTCAATTTAAAGTGTATTTGCTAGACGTAGTTCCATCCTGCATCTTTAGTCCAAATGTTTCCTGTTGGGATTAACTCCAAATAGTATTGCCCTGATCTCTGGAATCATCTGAAAAAAAACATAATTGTAGTGAATGAACATCCAACATTTTTATGCTTTACACATAAATCACTGCTATCTTCATTATGCAATGCAGTACCCAATGCAAGCAGAACTGCTATTGTTCATGTTATTAAAAACAATAGAGGAGAGCTGAAGAACAGCATAGACTGGCCAGGAATAAGACATATTATCAAGAGCTAATAATACCTAGAGTGTACAAAGGAAAAACGGGAAAAATAGTGCTATTTCACGATATGATTATTCTACTTTGCCATACTTTGGCCTGCGAAGTGTAAAGAAAATTTTATGGTATTGCATTAAGCAGAATTCTTTGCTCTCTAAAACAAGACCAACCGCCTTGTCAATACGATACTCCTAGGCTGAGATATTGGCTCCTAAAACCTCCCCTCCCACATGCCTCACACGGCCTGGCATCCAGCTTATTCAGCAAGCCTAAACGCCTCTAAAGGTTGCTTCGTGAGAGTTCGGTTTTTTCCGCCATAATTTTCATGAATGATTTTCGGGTGCAGGTGGACAGGGTGGAGGTGACTTTCGGGGCATCGCCTATGCCCTTATCTCCCATTATCTTTCCTTAGCCACGGCTAATGCCCGTCATGATGGAGCCGGCAATGTTTTTTTAATTAAGTTCTCTACAACGCAGCTAGTAAAGTACCAAATTTTGGCATGTGACATCAATTATCAGCGCTCCAAGCCGGCACGGAAAACGATAGCCAAAATGCTTGAGAGGCGTTTAGGTTGCTGAATAAGCTGGATGCGAGGCTGTGTGAGGCATGTGGGGAGGGGAGGTTTAGGACCAATATCTCAGTCTAGGAGTATCGTATTGACAAGCGGTTGGTCTTGTTTTAGGAGAGCAAAGAATTCTGCTTAATGCAATACCATAAAATTATTTCTAGACTTGCAGGCAAAGTAGAATAATGTTGTCGTGAAATAGCACTATTTTCCCGTTTTCCCGTTGTACACTCTAGGTATTATAGCTCTTGATATTATTGATATACTACAATTTGTACACCCTGAATTTCCACCAGCATTAACAAGAATTTACGGTCTTACCTGCCTCATGTACTCTGCAGCGTTTGTTCAAGGTATTAATGACTTTTATCTTTCCTTGATTGGCAGTAGCTCTATGCCCCAGCACTGAAACGATTATATTCGATAATTCTCACTAAACCACAAATCACAACGAATGCATTTGGTCTGAACAATGATTTGCATTGCAGAATTGCAGAAACACTTGTCACGCTTTACTTATAAGACAACAATAATTCAGCTTTGAGCATTATTTAAAAACGACTTTTTAATGGATGATAATTATGGAAGCCGTGTTTAAATTTCCCTTTACCGACAAAAAATACCATAGCAGAACATGGCAGTTGGTGAGCATAGCACCAATGCTAGTATCGTACTTACAAGGCAATGCAATCCACCACACTTACATTTCCGCGGGAGATAGCTCTCCTTGTCGATGCTTAGCTTCACGTTTGTACCAGTCGCAGCCTTACTTGAGTGACAGCACTGGGAAACACCGACTCAACCAGTGCCACATGCTGTCTGCCGACATTCTGATCACAACAGTGTGTTCGCAAGTAGTTGGAACAGACCCTAGACAGAGCCCATACATCGGCATCAATGACATAATGTAACGAATGTCTGACTACGCCAAAAAACAGCTTACCCAGCCTAAAGTTAACAGCTTCACAAACTTATTAGGCAATATTTCTGGGTAATTATCTGAAGACACAAGTACACAATTAAGATATGTGATCAAAATCATGAATAAAGAAAATGAAAAAATTGAATTCACGATCCGGGCTAGAGGAGCTCACAGTTTTGTGCCCTAAAACATCATCTACAATAAATAGTGTCATCGTTACTAAAGTAATCTTGACAACTGTCAATAACATTGAGTAAGCCACTGAACATCCCTCATGTAGCAGCACCACCTACATAGTACAGTTACCACGCATGTTAAAGGTAGCTTCCTCGAACTTTCCACGTAAATTGTGTAACAAACCACTGTAAGAATCTTAAGTAAATAACTCACTACACTTTAAACTGAACGTTAGCTTTTGAAAATAAAACTGTAAAAATATGTATCAAGCCTATATTTGCTCATTGAAGG